AATCTCGTCATTAGCGTTAGTGCATAAAACCTAGACACAGGATTGTGAATTTTATTTGCCTAGAGCGTGGCATGCTGCGTGAACACTTAGACACCGTGAATAGTAGTTTTGTGGGACCAGGGCTGTTCTGATTTGACCAGGACCTCGAGGAAGCTCAGAGAAGGGCTCTGTGTAGACTGGTTCTGCGTAGTTACTGGCTCCCTTTCAGGGAGTCTGAGATGGTGAGACTGGGAAGGAACCCAAAGCCATTTATAAGCAGTCCCAACACATGGCCAGGTGAAGTGGTTTGATTCCTTTTTCTTTCTTTCTTTTTTTTTTTTTTACCATTTCATTAACTTTTACTTTTTGAAAACAAATGACTTCGATGAAGCTGAAATCCCAGCCCCATGCATATATCCAGTCCTTCCAACGAATATCGGGTCCCAATATCATGTCATAGCTGTGAGTGGGAGGACCCTTCTGTAATCTCCACTGAGATATCTGCCCAGAAAACTCGCTCTCCAATGTAGGGACAGTTGATCTTTCTTTCATGCATTGATAGGGAGAGATACTGTAGCCTATGTACACAGCTCCATGAGGTCCTCCTCAGCTTATTCAGTTAATTCCTCTCTTCCTCTAACTTTGAATGGGTCAGTGGAAGACATGGGGTAGGGGAGGTAGAGGAGGGTCAAGGAAGGAAAATGGTGATGGAAGGAGACTTGGCTTGGGGTGGTGAACACACACTACCATGTACAGATGATAGGTTGAAAAAAACACACACAAACTAAACCAGACCAAACAAAACAGACGTCTGTGACTCCCCAAAAGCCTGATCACTCTAAATCCACATGTCCCTGTGAAGTGTGGCCCTAGCGAAGGCTATGCCAGATCCAGAAGCAGAGGTGGGAACCCTCTGTCAGACCCTCAGGGAGGCAGGAGAATGGATTCTGGATGGGAAGGGCAACCTCCTTCAGAGCTGGTGCTGCATCCCAGCTCTGCCATCAAACTTGTTCCCCTGTCTTTTTTTTTTTTTTTTGGTCAGATTAAATATACCTCTCGGAACGTTTACTTCTAAGGGCATATGGTATTGTGACACAAAACAGTCCATTCCTACAAATGCCGTCTGAACACTTGGTAGGCACCAGACATGATGATTGAATCAGTAGAAAATTTATTATCTTGCAGAATTTTTTAAATGCCCACCTTGGTCCCATTTTATTCTGCTCATTTAAAAATGGAGGTCTTTCTTGTTTGGGACTAGGGAATTTTTCTAAACCTCTGACACCTCCCTTATTCTGTTACTATCCCTTCCTGGTTTAGGGTGACACCCTCTCAAATGCTATTCAGGGAGTGTGGCCTCCGTGCTGTGAAGCAGGACCGCATACTCTGCCCTGAGCATTGCATTCCTTTTGCAATTTACAGCCTCATCCATGTGTTGTTGGGTTGTTGTTTTTTTTTTAACCTAAAATGCTCATGCTTCTTTATTTGAGGTTAATTATGCCAGATTAAGTTTTTTTTTTCTTTCTCTACTGGATTCTCAGATTTGCCCCAAGTTTTAGGGGAAAAAAATTGACTAGCCCCCTTTCTGCTGGTGTCCCCTGAGCCCTGTGCTTGAATACAATGAGGTCACTTTGTTGAAGGATTAACTTTATATTACATTCTTGCAGGGTAGATGTATGTCCCTAAGGTACAACTACCCCCACGGATGAAATAAATATACCATTCTTTATGATTCCTCCCCGTTACCTTCTCTGTTGATTTTCAGAGAGTTTATGAATAGTCACATATTTATACAACTGGCCAAAAGTATACTACTTATTTTTCTTATGGTCTGTAATAACCTATGCAAGGTTATTAAAGGGTCTACAGACCCCTTTTAAGGCATAGTTTCTTATGTCATTACTTTATACAAGCAGGTCAAATTCCATCTCGGCAATAATCTCTTGCTCTTAACCTTTTTCTTTGATTATAAAAGTAATATATGTTCATTGTGGAAAATGTAGAGAATGCACAGCAGAAAGAGAAGAGAAGCATTTTAAGACCCTCTTTTGGGCGGTTTATACACAGACCACAGACGCATTTTCTTCATTCTCTGTATGTTTGTTTTTTAAAAAAGGAACCATTTAGACTTATGCTCCTATAAGCTGCCTTTTAACCTAGCCATATATTATGCCAGTAAATATTTCCCCCACTTATGGCATTGCTTTTGAGAACTGCATCATATTCCAGAGACATTGAATCTGTTTTTCTGGTGTTTTCTTTGTGTGCGTGTTTGTTTTGTTTTAAAAATCTTTATCAGATGTTTGCTCTCACTCAGTAATTGGTTTAAATTTTTTCTCTAGTCAGTGCAATCAGAGAAATTATCAGACACCTTTGCATTTAAGACAAGCTTTGTCTTGCATATCTGTAGTGTTATCTTTGTGCTCAGCACCGGGACAATTGCACTGTAATGTTCAATTCCTAAATTGAGGGCGGATTAACATATTTAAAGATATGAGCACAGAGCAAGTCATAAAGGCATGAGAAATAAAAGCCTTTGTCTTACTGGCTGAAACATCTCCTCCAACATAGTATACTTCCATAGAATAGATGCTTACTTTTCTTTGAATAATGAGTTTAATATATCTAATTCAATTACTCTTTGTGTCAGCCAAATGACTTCTCCTCAGCTCTTTAGCTATTCGTTCTGATATTTGAATCGGTTCTTTTAATTGCAGATATTAAGTGTCTGTCTTTCTGCTGTGTGTTGGCCATATGGCCAGAGAAACACAGCCGGACTCCCCTCCCACACGTCAGGCAGTCATTCAATTAGCAACCACAGTTCCTTGACACAGTAGGAATTAATTCGTTTTTCAGACAACTGAAGCGGTGGGTCAACACTTCTAATTTTATTGTTGGTTTGGTCTGAAAAATAAAACCAAAAATTGGAATGTTCAGGATGCTAAATTATGTCTTCAGATATTAAAATGATGCATTTAATTGTCTAAAGCTCTTTTTATGGTCAAACTTCTTTGCTGGTAATTAGCATGATGGGTGGGGGAGGGATGTGATATATAACTTAAACCTAGGTGCTCATTCCTGTCGCCTTCATGCATTTCTTGATTAAATCCCATGTATTTTACGAGTAACAGCTTCCCTGCATAAAGAGCCCTATGGCTTTTTCTCTACAAGTCTAATTTGAAAAAAAAAGAAGAAGAAGAAATTCTTCTCAAGGGTTTAGAAAGTAATCATAAAAAATGAGAGGAATAATAAATATTGTGCCTTAACTCATATGCTAGCATAGAGAGAGAGACGTGGTACACCTGGGTGTAATTTCAGTTAATTTCCACAAGAGACAGGTTGAAAGTTTACTGTTTGGAAGGGGAGGGAGGCATAGCTAAATCTCATATTTGCAAAAATGATTACATTATCTGAAATGAAAATGCTACTCTATTAACAAACTTCAATAAGCATTGCATTTGGGAAAAAATCTTTTAAATATAAAGTTACCTGAGTTCACTTTAACTTAAAATATACAAGTGAGGAAAAAGTACTTACTCTGATTTATGTGTCTTTTGGAGGTGTAATTATTGGCTTTTTACTCACCTATGGAAAACAATGTACTTTTGTAAATGGATTTCTGGCCACTTTATGCAGCCTTTTTTTTCCCCTGTATTTTTTTTTTTTTTTTGTTACATAAAAAGTAAGCACTGTCAATCAAGGAATTTTAAGGTTTATTTCCTCTTTAGAAATGATTGATAGCCTTTTAGATTTACCAGTTGACAAGTTAAAGGGTTCTATTGGTATAATTATGTACTAAATTCACAGTCTTTCAATTTAAATGTCCTTTTAAAACCACAAGATTATCATACCTGTATTTTGAAAAGTGGGCCAGCCAGTTTGGGTTGGTATACAAATTGCTTCCATTAGCCTTGGGACCTATTTGAATTTAATACAGTTTTTTAAAGTTAGTAGTAGTATGAATCTTACTTTTAAAATTTAGGTTAATGGAAATTCATTTTACGTAAAGCATGTGGCAACTTGTTTTTTAATGTATAGCTAAACCGCAGAAGTGCAAAGACTGTCTTTTTATTCAGTATGGGAGAAACTATGTGGTTGAATACTTGGGTTACACAAAAAAGGAGAAGGAAAGGACCTCCCCACCTGCTCCTTACTTAGAAGATCTGAGGGCTACGGATAGAGAGAGGATGGAGCTGCCATCTCTCCCTTGTCCCAAGAAGAAGGCTGAAGATATTTCACATCCTGGGGAGGAAATTTCAGAGTTCACTTTGTATTGTGTTTAATTTCAGGGTGCTTTGAAGAGGGTGTAGTCAATATGAGCACAGCAAGGCCCATTGTCTCCAGATATTGTTACAGTTTTGCTCTGCAGTCTATTAAACCATCATGGAGATCTGGCTGCTCTAAGCCAGAGCTCTCAGAGGCTGGCTTTTTCCTGAGATAATATTGATGTTGGTGACTAGTCTGGCATTGTAGATGGGAGGGTGTAGTATCAAGGTCATTGCAATGCCTTGCTCTGTGCCCCTCCCTGCACTCTTGCAGGTTCATTGCCACAGAAGGCACTGAGACGCTGTGTCAGCCGAGGTCCACTAGAGATTTTGCAATGAAGCAAGTACTTTGAACTCTCCTGCTTTTTAGAATCTGTAGACATCCTAGGACAGGCCCTTGAGCATTTTGACCTCAGCTTCTGACTAAAATGAACCCTAAAACTTCATTCAGTACCATTTGGCTTTCTATTTTCAATAATGTAAGGAATATAAAATTTGGCCGGAAGAACAGAGTTCTTCCCTATGCTACAAAGGGGTCTTTGAGGGAGTCCCGCCCTACCATGGTCAATAGCAGAAGTAGATGGTGGTAATGTTCAGGAGAGGAAACATTCATCTAGTCGTTTCATAATCTAATTCAAAGGTTATCAATGAAGCTTTGGACTTCCTGGTTATTTCTGGTTATTTTCACATTATCAGTGTTGCAAATCATGTTCTTGTTCCTGAAATGGTTCTAATTGTGTGACTTCTTCATTGTAGCGCTCAACGAACCCACCATCGATTATGGTTTCCAGAGGTTACAGAAGGTCATTCCCCGGCACCCTGGAGACCCTGAGCGTTTGCCAAAGGTCAGTACTCTCCTTCTTTGAGTTATGGTCTCTGGAAACTTGGACTTGGGTGATTGGCAGGAGACTTTGCCATTGATAAAAATCAGTTCGTAGATAAGCAACTCAGTCTTTTTTTTGGCTTTGTGTGTTTGGTGCTATAGGTAAATAAGCACTTATGTGCCCAGTAATACAGTACTTCTTTTTACATGTGCTATGTCATTTCTTCCTCTCAAAACCCTCTGAGATTGGTCTTGCTACCATCTCCATTTTGGGGAAGAAAATGATCAAGCTAAGAGAGGTTAAATCATTTGCCCAAGGTCACAAAGTATGTAAATTGCTAAACTGAGATTCAAATCAATACTATCTGGGTCCAAAGCTCAAGTTGTTGTTAATCACTTCATCACTCCAGCCAGCTCTTAAGAGGAAAAAGAACACTGCTTTCCTACCTGCTTAGAAATTCATACTCATCCCTGTCGAGGGGAGAACAAAGGAAAACATATTGGTAGATCTTGCAACTAGGCAAATAAGACAGGACCTCTTTCCTCTAGAGGCATTCCACCTAACTGGGAGATAAGGTGAGAAATTAAACAAGAATTCAAGGCAGAATAACACATGGCATACAGCAATACGTCATTAATCCCCAATGATGAAAAAAGAAAATTCACATTTACTGACACCTGTTCTGAACCTGTTGTCTGTGTTGGGAATATCCCCATCTCTGTACCCAAGGAACTCGGAACCTGTGTGGGAGAGATCACTCTACCCAACACCATACGTGACAGGAAGAACGGGTACGCTTAACAAAAGTGCAGCCAAAGTTCTCTGAGGACTCAGAGGAGAGAACAGTTAAATGCTAAGGAAGTTTGAAGGACAGAATGAATTGAGCTACCATTCACTGTTTACTGACAGCAAAATGGAATTTCATTCACGGCACTAGTGAAAACTATTATAAATTAAATGAGCAGATGAGAGGTCTTCTCTTTGCTCTTTGCTACAGTACGTCTACAGATAGACTGTTTCTCCTCATAAAGCACTTAGAAAAATGAAGTTGGCATCCTTCCTAGTTTTTTTTATCATCAAATTCTACCTGTGCACCTGCTGCCTGGGGAGGCAGAGCCACCTGTCTGAACAGGCCTGGTCCAGGAGAAAGCGACCCAGGAACAGATGTGCAACTCGAGGGGCCAGGAGGGTGGAGAAGGGGGCGCTGCTTCCCAGAGAGAGGAGGAACTGGGACAGGCAAATGCATCTGTCCTCCACCTAGACCGCAGAGAAAGAACCACACAACCTCAGCCGCAACCCTCGGCTTCCCAGAGCAGCCTTCTTCCACCGAGTGCTATTGGTAAAAGCTTCTTGAAAGCATTTCACCTGAGGAAGACATCCTAGGATGTGTCAGTCCATATCCTTGTCTTTGAAAGGGACCGCCCTCTTACATACATCATTCCCTTTCACCTTGACTCATTCTTGGTGAGCAGTTAAATAATCGAATGATAACAGTGGGTGACAGTCTACTTCCATAGCATAGATGTGCAGTGGGAAGATTTACCTTCAGGTTCCTCTGTCTAGCAAGAACTTAACTCCCCTGCATTTCCCGAGGGGCAATAATTGGAAATTTTATTGGGAATTTTATAGCACGATGATATAAATAATGTTTACCTACCCAAAGGTCAGTGCTTTAGGTGTCTCTGCAGTAGAAAGAAGGCATGGGTGCAATACCAGATTCTTCCCATTTGGGGATCATCTTCACTTTACTTTTGACATTGGATGGCAGAGTCTGCGGAAGCGACTGGAAGGGCAGATCAGGGTGGGGGTGGGGTGGAACTTTAAGGGCAATGACTATGCAATCTGGGTCAAAATTCTTTTATTTTAAAAAAATTTCAGACAAAATTCTTTAACTCTCTGAGCCTCAATTCACTTCTTGGTCAAATAGAGATGATAATATTTCCTACTTTTGGGGGTTGCCACTTTAATCACTTGCTTTGCACTCGACAAAAGGTAGCTACGCTTATTTGCCAGTGAGTTAGAGTGGGACCCTTGCTTCTCAAAGCTCTTCCCTCCAATCTCGGCAGAGCGGGACATCCCAGTCCTGGTGAGCAGCTGGGTCTGTGATGTATCTTCTGTGCCTCAGTTTCTTCATCTATAAAATAGGGATATAATGGTACCGACCTCATGGGGCTCACATAAGGATAAAAAGAGGTAATCCTGTGGGTGCCCTTGGCACCATATCTGGCTGGCTATCGCCACTCTCTAAGTATTTATTGAAAAATAGAGAAAACCAATTTGGTTTCATCTGGATGAGGCAGTCCTTTTCTTATCTAGAAAGAAATAAGGCAAGTAGGAATACAGGATTGAGTTTTGTGTGCTTGCTCTTAAAAACATTTTTTTTTTCTGGCCGAATATCACGTTCAGAAATGTTGAACAAATAGCCCAGGCACGTGTCCCTTCGTCCCCTGTGGCCTGATGGTGAAACTCCCAGCCCCTTTTCCTGGGATTGGGACGAGTAATCAAGGACACAATGGGCTTGTGTGTTAAGGAAGCACTCTGCAGCTTGCATCTACCACTTGCCCGTGCGAGGACTCTGGCAGGAGCCCACCCCAGGAAGCTCTCTGTGTGACTCAGAGCGGAGTGGCTGTCCTCTTGGCCCTGAGCCTGAAGGTGGAGTGAGAGTTCAAGAGCAGGGTCAGGAAGTGGCGGATGGAGCCAGCACGAGGTATTCCTGTGCGCTGGGGAGGCTTATCCTCTTGCTGTCCATTGTTCGGGGGATCAAAACGGGCTCCGCCTTTCTTAGAGTCATGGTCAGTGTTTGTCAAACCGGAGTGTTTCAGTGAGCCGCGGACCACACACCTCACCAAACAAACGGCACTTTATTAAACCCATGTGTTTGTGAATAGACAAAGCTAGATTCATACAACCACCCACATATTCTGTCAAATGAAACTGCTCCCAAGACCACGCAGACAGTGTTCCATAATAATATGCCTTTGTATGGTGGCGTGTGCTTTTTCAAAGAACTTATACAGGCTTTGTTTTATGGGAGCCCCTCTCGTGAGAGAAGTCAGCGACGCAGACATCCCTCCCATTTCCCAAACGAGAGCGCCGGGGGCCAGCTGATCCTTCTCTGTAGATTATTTCGTCTCTGAGAGTCTCTGTTGGTGATAGTTGCTGGACACACATTTTTAAAATACTGCGATCATGCTAGCCCCAGATGTTTTCTGGTTTCCTTTTCCATGTGCACGTGGGGAAGGGCGGGCAAAGGTTTTTTTAAATCGCAGCGTTCTGTTCTGTTTCACACAGACTCGCCTTCCTCCCAGATCCTGGCAGGAGGGAGAGAGCATGTGACCAAGTTTGGGGTGAAGGTTGACCTTTCTTACAAGGTCGAGGTGAGGGGGAAGGGGACTGTGGTCAGTCAGAAGCTCTGAGGTGCCGAAAGGCATGATGCAACCCAGACACATTGAGCAAGGAGCTCTCTCTGTTCTGAAGGCCAGAGGTGTCTCTGTCCCCTTTCAAATTGCTGGTTGTCTTCTGAGTGGTCCGCGAGCATTAGTGCAGAGGCAGTGAGTGACAGTAGACTCAAGTTCGCAGGGGATCCCAGGGAGTAGGTCACATTTAATTGATGCCTACTGTGTGTAAAGCATGGCTTTGTCAAGGTTGTTGATGGGCCGAGATGTCAAGAGAGACGGCTGTCAGGCCAGAGAGATGTGAGTTTTGAAAGCCAGATCCACTTGACTCAACCTTCCAGGGCTAGGTTCTCTCTTCTCCTCCATCACAT